TGCAGAGATGGTATTTCCTTTTGTGTCCCCACATCCTATGCACTGTGTATAGAACATTGACGATCCTTAGACTGCTTTAGACAGGCTCAAGGGACCGATCTAAAAAGCAAGCTTACTGAATGACTCCCCCCACCAAATGTTCTAGACCCCATTCACACCTTGCCATTTTGTAGATCCTTTCCCTAAGTACGGCAACGCTGAACAAGGGGAGTCCCACTGTTTTCAATGGCTCCTGTTTACACATGAGCATTGTGTCGCCAGTCATGTGAAGCTCAAAAAGGTACATGAGCTTCTTGTGGGGCACGAATCATGCGTTACGGCCGCATAGACTTTACTGGCAGTGCTTGAAAATTGAATCTTTCTGCGTGCTTTTTAGCCGCTCCCATTCAACAATCTATGGGACCAAATACACACAATTCTGCTCCCGTATTACAAGTCATGCGTAAAAATGCTTACAAAAAGTGTAGAAAAATCCCTTTCATGAACAACTCCAGGCAAATGACAAATTAGCCCTTGCAGTGGGGCCACACATGCACTGCAAGGGTTAGAGTATTACTAAAGGCTAGGCGTTTTTTTTTTACCTTAGGGATAGAGATTTGGGGACAACTAGAGAACGAGAAAAACAACATTTTATAGAGGAAACAAAAGGCAGTTCCGGTAAGTCTGGCCCTGATAATAATAATAAAAAAGCAGGTTTAGCATCACTTTAAGTGCTCGTTTTGGTCTAGGGTCTAAAATGTAAAAAGGATATACTCAGCTAATTCCACAGCCTCTCTCCTCCTCTGCTCGAGAAAAGTCCCTCATGTCCTCCCTCTTGCCTGGCTGTGCGCACACAAACTCAGGACTTAAAGTGACATTAAGGGCCTGTTCACATGAGTTTCCGGTCCTGATCAGGTCCGGATCTGCAGTTGCGGTGCTATGTGTTTTGCCGCGTTGTTGATGCTGGAGTGGGGCTGTCAGTATGTTAGCTGCAGTGCGTTTTTGCGTTTCCGGACCGTTTCCTGACCGTACAAAATGTGACATGCAGCATTTTTCTGTCGTAACCTGAACGGACTGCGCACGTGAGAACTGTAGCCCATAAAACACATAGGGATACATTGGGATGCATTTTTAGTGCAGGATGGTATGAATCAGGTCAGCACAGAAAACGGACGTCGTTTGAACAGGCCCTAACGGATATTTTTTTTCCCTCCCCCAATGTTAGTGTCAGGAGTTACCTTAAATTATGTCTCTTTATCGATCATCTTCCTTACTGTCCTTTTCAGCTGTCCTTCCAGCGCTGGTGCGGGTCTCCGATCCAGCCCTGATTCCTCTGTCCTCCTCTCCTCTGATGTCCCACGGTGTCTGTGCGGGTGCACGCTGCTCCATAGACTTACTTTGTTTTTCTCCTATTCTCCCGGCCGAAAATCTGAACTGCGCATGCGTCCGCCCCAAGATCCTTTGTGGCCGCCCGAGACTTCAGATGTTCAGATGGGAGCGTGCGGTGAAGACACAGGAAAGTTTAAATCTGTTTCAAAAGGTTTTGGGGTTTTTTTTGTTTTAAGTTTTTGCATATATTTCTACTGCTTGCTAGCTGTAGATGTATGCAAAAAAACGTGAGGGTGTGATAACCCTTTAAATCTTAAAAATACATTCAGGTACCTCCACTATTAACAAATATATATCTTGTGTATCACTCAGCTGTAGATCCTCAAAATCATCTCTGAATTGGTGCTGACACTGTCCTTCCTATTAAAGGGTGGCTACTTTTGTTCCCCATGGTCCCTGTGTGTTGTAAAGCAGTCACTGCTCCGAGATCACTCCTGTGATAAAACTACAATCTCAATACAAATTAGTAAACTAAACATGAGATTGTAGTCCATCACAGTAGTGAGCTTGGAGTGGTGAATACTTTACAAAACAAACGTCCTAGATGCTGTAGCACTCTTTACCAGAAATCCCAGAAAAAGTTAAATGGGTGCTCGAAATGACAGCGCATGGCGCCGCACACAGAACAACTGTGCGGCTCGGGCGGCCGCAAAGGATCTTGGGGTGGACGCATGTAGATTTTACCAGCACACCAGAACCACAAAAGCAGTGCAAATCCATTTAATGATATGTCACTTGGAAAATCAAGCGCTTTCGGGGCCACACAGGGTCCCCCTCACCAGGCTCAGAGTAGACAACATTTTCCGAGTGACATATCATTAAATGGATTTGCACTGACCCATGTGTTTTTGTCCTGCTGGTGTGCTGATGACATCTACATTCAAAGTTGTTCTTTACAACACACAGACAGGGACCATGAGGAACAAAAGGTAGTCACCCTCCAGAAGGAAGGACAGTGTCAGTATGAATTCAGAGATGATTTGAGGATCTACAGCTGAGAAATACACATATAACGTACATTGTTGTAAATCGTTAAAGTACACAAATGCATTTTTAAGATTTAACTCCTGAGTTTAGTATCACTTTAAACTAATGCATGGCTTACATTTGTAGGTCTGCACCAAAACGAAACACATGTACCTGACACCCCAAAAGAACAAGACAAAACTCCCACACCTGCATGCACACAACTAACATACAACCATGACACAGTCCTTATACTGTATAACAACACTTTGTCCTGACCTGGCAGCCGTGTCTTCTCACATTGCTCGCCTCCCTGTCTGCTAACGCTGAAAGCATAACAAACCCTAAACTCACAGCATACGGCTCGGCAAGCATGCACAGCGAAGGACACCGATTGCATAGACGGGCTGTCACTCAGCGAAACTAGCGTTCTTATTGGTGATGGTGCATGTGGAGTCCCGCCCGCAGACTCCGGAGAAGGGAAGGACGTATGATACAAGTCCCAGGGGAGTGAGTGGGCTAGAAGTTCTTCCTGAGGAAAAAGCAGTGTGATGGTTAATGCCTGTGGACGGTCTGTGTCTGTTCAGTCCATGATGTACTTCCTGTCAGCTTTGCCCCTGCTAGTATACCCCCTTTCCCCAGGAACCACCCACATTCATACCTCCTAGATACCAAGAATAGCATGCCTGTTGGGAGGCACTCAGGGTGTCATATACAATTGGCTGGCTGCCGTTAGGTATCTGTTTTTATGTATATGAGGGGCATACAATGGGGCTCTGCCTGTGGACATGCAACATTCAGCCTGCGCAGCTCCATAAACTTGTAGGGCTGAACTAGGATGTTGTTGTAGTACACAGGAGGGTGGGGGAGAGAGAGCTGTGCAGGAGGACGCTGCCAGCAAGCACAGCTTTTATCAGGGGAGGAGAAGCCCCAGGAAATAAAACTAACCTCGCAGTAATCCAACTCCTGCACTGCAAGGGTTAACGGCTGCTTTATGTCTCGTGTAAAGCTGGCCCTATACTATGCAAAGTTCTGCAGGAACCAGACGAGATTTGCCCACTGGGTGCCACTGTCGGTACCCTTCCAGCAGGCATCTATCGATCAGAAGGAGCCGGTTGGAGAATCTCCAGACGGTGCGTGCAGCCAATCAGGTCTGGAAAAGCATCTAGGTCTGGGAAAAAAAAAGTTCAATTTTGGTGGACCTGACAGTGATCATGACAGATGGGAGGTAATCGGGTGTAAACAGACACATCTGCTTACGTCTATCTCCCCATAGACCTAGCATGGGTCTGTACAGTTCAGTTTTTTCCTCCAAAGCTGAAGGGACACACATGACACAAGATTGATATCCGTTTTGTACTGCTCCGATCAGAAGATGATGGATGCATGCATCCCCTGCTGATCAGAACAGACGGCGCCCTGCTGACGCGATCACATACAATGCAGGGTCCATATATGTTAGGATGCCGAGGGATAGTTCACAAGCTAGAACATATGAGGAGGTGTCGGGAAAGATCCTGACAATATGTTTGGGTTCCTACTGATTGGCAGCTGGCTCTGCCTCTCTAGAGCCAGAGCCAGCTGTGCCCGTCCCCTCCCTTGTCTGCAGGCCCGGACTGGGACTAAAAATAGGTCTGGCTATTTGAGACTGAGCAGCACAATCACATGATCCCAGCAGGCCCCGCCCCATCAAATCCAGAGGCGGAACCAAACAAAAGCGCAATCGAGGTTGCATTATAGTTACAGTGCTGTCTCATTAGGGCTGCGTGCAGTCTAACTAGTACTGTGTTCGGGTCTCATCAGGGCTGCGTGCAGGTCTCATCAGGGGTGTGCGTCTCACCAGGGCTGAGCGGAAAGAGGAGGAGAAGGAAATGTGCGGCCGGACTGGTGCTGTAAACAGACACAGCAAGGTCCCCACAAGGCTACCCGAGATTCGGAAGCGGAACCTCAGGCGGCCGAATGTGCTTACAAAATTTAAAACGCTGGTATCGGCGCTTAGTTTTGGGGCATTACTTGTGACATTTAGGCCCCGTTCCCACTGCGCGATATGCAAATCGCGCGTTTGTCGCGCGATTTGCATATTGCGCGACATCGCGAGATTTGCCGCGCGATATCGCATTCAAGCTTGCATTGAGCAAGCTTGATTCGCGGCTAAATCCGCTCCAAAAAGGGTCCTGCTGTAGCGACACACGACCCGCAACAGCAGGACCCTTTGCCCCATTGAAATGCATTGGAGCGTGATATCGCGCGGTAATTTGCCGCGATATCGCGGGAATTACCGCGCGATAAATCGCTCAATGTGAACTGTTGTTCTTTACAACACACAGACAGGGACCATGAGGAACAAAAGGTAGTCACCCTCCAGAAGGAAGGACAGTGTCAGTATGAATTCAGAGATGATTTGAGGATCTACAGCTGAGAAATACACATATAACGTACATTGTTGTAAATCGTTAAAGTACACAAATGCATTTTTAAGATTTAACTCCTGAGTTTAGTATCACTTTAAACTAATGCATGGCTTACATTTGTAGGTCTGCACCAAAACGAAACACATGTACCTGACACCCCAAAAGAACAAGACAAAACTCCCACACCTGCATGCACACAACTAACATACAACCATGACACAGTCCTTATACTGTATAACAACACTTTGTCCTGACCTGGCAGCCGTGTCTTCTCACATTGCTCGCCTCCCTGTCTGCTAACGCTGAAAGCATAACAAACCCTAAACTCACAGCATACGGCTCGGCAAGCATGCACAGCGAAGGACACCGATTGCATAGACGGGCTGTCACTCAGCGAAACTAGCGTTCTTATTGGTGATGGTGCATGTGGAGTCCCGCCCGCAGACTCCGGAGAAGGGAAGGACGTATGATACAAGTCCCAGGGGAGTGAGTGGGCTAGAAGTTCTTCCTGAGGAAAAAGCAGTGTGATGGTTAATGCCTGTGGACGGTCTGTGTCTGTTCAGTCCATGATGTACTTCCTGTCAGCTTTGCCCCTGCTAGTATACCCCCTTTCCCCAGGAACCACCCACATTCATACCTCCTAGATACCAAGAATAGCATGCCTGTTGGGAGGCACTCAGGGTGTCATATACAATTGGCTGGCTGCCGTTAGGTATCTGTTTTTATGTATATGAGGGGCATACAATGGGGCTCTGCCTGTGGACATGCAACATTCAGCCTGCGCAGCTCCATAAACTTGTAGGGCTGAACTAGGATGTTGTTGTAGTACACAGGAGGGTGGGGGAGAGAGAGCTGTGCAGGAGGACGCTGCCAGCAAGCACAGCTTTTATCAGGGGAGGAGAAGCCCCAGGAAATAAAACTAACCTCGCAGTAATCCAACTCCTGCACTGCAAGGGTTAACGGCTGCTTTATGTCTCGTGTAAAGCTGGCCCTATACTATGCAAAGTTCTGCAGGAACCAGACGAGATTTGCCCACTGGGTGCCACTGTCGGTACCCTTCCAGCAGGCATCTATCGATCAGAAGGAGCCGGTTGGAGAATCTCCAGACGGTGCGTGCAGCCAATCAGGTCTGGAAAAGCATCTAGGTCTGGGAAAAAAAAAGTTCAATTTTGGTGGACCTGACAGTGATCATGACAGATGGGAGGTAATCGGGTGTAAACAGACACATCTGCTTACGTCTATCTCCCCATAGACCTAGCATGGGTCTGTACAGTTCAGTTTTTTCCTCCAAAGCTGAAGGGACACACATGACACAAGATTGATATCCGTTTTGTACTGCTCCGATCAGAAGATGATGGATGCATGCATCCCCTGCTGATCAGAACAGACGGCGCCCTGCTGACGCGATCACATACAATGCAGGGTCCATATATGTTAGGATGCCGAGGGATAGTTCACAAGCTAGAACATATGAGGAGGTGTCGGGAAAGATCCTGACAATATGTTTGGGTTCCTACTGATTGGCAGCTGGCTCTGCCTCTCTAGAGCCAGAGCCAGCTGTGCCCGTCCCCTCCCTTGTCTGCAGGCCCGGACTGGGACTAAAAATAGGTCTGGCTATTTGAGACTGAGCAGCACAATCACATGATCCCAGCAGGCCCCGCCCCATCAAATCCAGAGGCGGAACCAAACAAAAGCGCAATCGAGGTTGCATTATAGTTACAGTGCTGTCTCATTAGGGCTGCGTGCAGTCTAACTAGTACTGTGTTCGGGTCTCATCAGGGCTGCGTGCAGGTCTCATCAGGGGTGTGCGTCTCACCAGGGCTGAGCGGAAAGAGGAGGAGAAGGAAATGTGCGGCCGGACTGGTGCTGTAAACAGACACAGCAAGGTCCCCACAAGGCTACCCGAGATTCGGAAGCGGAACCTCAGGCGGCCGAATGTGCTTACAAAATTTAAAACGCTGGTATCGGCGCTTAGTTTTGGGGCATTACTTGTGACATTTAGGCCCCGTTCCCACTGCGCGATATGCAAATCGCGCGTTTGTCGCGCGATTTGCATATTGCGCGACATCGCGAGATTTGCCGCGCGATATCGCATTCAAGCTTGCATTGAGCAAGCTTGATTCGCGGCTAAATCCGCTCCAAAAAGGGTCCTGCTGTAGCGACACACGACCCGCAACAGCAGGACCCTTTGCCCCATTGAAATGCATTGGAGCGTGATATCGCGCGGTAATTTGCCGCGATATCGCGGGAATTACCGCGCGATAAATCGCTCAATGTGAACGGGGCTTTACTTATAAATTGCAAAGCATACCTGTCTGTTACTCCCTGTATAACCGTAAGTATACAGGGAGTAATAGCCAGGTATGCTTTCCAATCTATAGGTACACACTGTGTGTAATACACAGTCTCTTTCCTACCTTCGATGTGCTTCAATGATGGCACTCTGCAGCTGCTCCTCACGGTGTCCCTTTTGCCCTAAAGCTCCAGTCAGGGGACAGTACAGACAACTTCACCGGATAAAGTCAGCACACCGCGCAAAGTAACAGGAGTGCAAGAGGCCGGACCGCTGGTCTGCCGGCCGGATGGATCAAAGGCATCACTCTCTGGCTCTCACTGCCCAGCTCGGAGCAGGCAGATATACAGCATTAGAGCAGGCCAGTGCAGGGCTCGGAGAAGGCTGATGCATGGCATCGGGCAGCCAAGTGCCCGACGCTATGCATCAGACATAGCGGGACCGCCGGGCTGAACACACTCAGGCTGACTGTGTTCGGCCCAGCCCACCGGGCAAGTGCCCGCTATGAGCTATGGCCAGTCCGGCCCTGCTTGTCTGTCCCTCGAATAAGTGCTGGAGAAACAGAGAGGGGAGGGAGTAATCTCTCTCTGCAGGGGGAAGCCAGGAGCTGTGCAATTAGCGGTATGTGATCACTCAGTTCTCGAGCTATAGAGTCAGCATGTGATAGCTGCAATGTCACACGTCGGCTCAAACTATTGGGAAGAGTACATTATACTCTCCAATAATTGTGCTTTAGCAGAATTACAAATTGGAAGGTAAATAAGTTCTCATGTGTGTATCACCGATGCATTCAGCTACTAGCCTGGAGTTTTGGGCCCGTTCACACATATAGTGGTGACCTGCGTCGCATCAACGCAGATCACCGCAATGACACATAGAAACAATTGTCGTGCTGCCATGCAGGAACCTGAAAGAAGTGTACAAATGTTTTTTGTCTGTGTCCCTGTTGAATATATTTCCCATCACTTTCGGTCCTTCCAGGAAGTGAGGTCAAAACTCCCTAACAGTCTTTTGTTCTATGCCTGGACAGTAATACAGTTCTGAACCTGGTATAAGTCTTTATTTTGGTATGCTCTGTACTAAGTCTTGCTAAGCGTGCATTATTGTAGTCAAAGCTCGTTAATATCTGAGCATTTCATATGGGGAGCAAGAGAAGATGAATGTGACAATTTGTGAGCATATGACATAATTAAGCTTGTTGCTTCAATGTTCAACTCCATTATTGAGTTAACCACTTGATGACCAGGGTGTTAAACCCCCTTCCCGGTCAGGCCATTTTTCAGTATTCAGCTCTGCATTACTTTCACTGACATTTATTCTGTCATACAACGCTGTACTGAAATGACTTTTTTTATACTATTTTTTGGGGGACAGGTATAGCTTTCTTTTGGTGGTATTTAATCACCACTGCGTTTTTTTTGTTTTTTTTTAACTATATAATTTTAAAAAAAGCACAGAAAAAAAACTTGTCCCTACGGTATGTTATAAAACATTTATATTTACCCACATTTTTGTTAAAATATAAAAGACGGGGTCATGTCGGGTACATAGACACCAAACATGTCAAGCTTTAAAATTGTGCACAACCGTGAAATCGCACAAAATTACCATACCCAAAATTGACCATAGACGACGCTTTCAAACCTGTTACCGCTCATCAGTTTAGTGTTATCAATGATTGATGGCCCTAGAATTATTGCTCACACTCCGAGATTCATGGTGATATGTAACATGTGACGTAATCATTGTTTCTGCACATAGCCGCACCCGATGCATATTTACATGTTTATATGTGTATGCACGTGGGGGCGGGCCTTACATTTTTTTTTGGTGTTGTTTTTTTTTTTTATTAGACTTTAATTTATTTATTTTTTACACTAAACTGTATTGCTATCACTTAGGGGTCTAAAATCCCCCTATGTGATAACAAATATACAATGACAAGTCCACTTTATGGAGACATTAAGGGTCTCTAAGACCCCTAATGTCACCTTGGGACCCCCAAAGAAGTTGATGAAATAGAGATCTGCTTCGCCAGCTTCTTCTCTGGTTATAGGAGCCTGAGAAATTACAGCTAAAGGCGGAAGTGATTTAATGCACACCACTTCTGACTTCAAGCATCGGAGGAGAGATCACTGGTGGGGGGATGCTGATCTCTCCTCTGTTCCTAGTGTAAAGGTGCCCATACACTTTACAACCCTCGCAAGACTTTTGTCTTGCGAGGGTTGTAAAGTACTTAAAGCAGAACTATGACATACAGCATTTTAAATGTATTTTTTACCGTTATTCTGCTAACAGTATTCTTTGCTTCCAAAGCAACTGCACATAAGAGATATCCTTATTTCAGAAGTCAGTTAAGAGCCACCAACAGCCCTACCCCAGTTTGAATCTTCACAGGGGGCGGCAACAATGGTTGTAACCCGCCCTCTCCTTTCTTTCAAGCTCATAATCTTCGTGTGGCCACGCTTTCCAAATGGGCGCACATCTGCTTTCAGACCTGAGCGTGTACGTGCCCGCATGGGCCTGTTTCCATGACAACATGACGCTACACAGCGGGAAATAGTGGCGGCTGCACAGTGAGATGAGACATGCTGCAGCCTAAGTACGCTCCCTGCACCGAATCAGTCATTGCTACGAAGCCAGAGACAGCAGTGGGGACAGAGGACAGAGGCGGGGACAGCGCTGAAAAATTGAGCTGTGGGAATGGAGCTGCTGCGCATGTGCGAGTATTCATGAACGCGCAGCAGCTCCTTGTAGCTCTGTCCCCGCCTTCGTCCTCGCCTCCATCCTCGCTTCTGTCCTCTGTCCCCGCCTCTCCACACTTCTACAAGCAAATGTCAGTCGATGGGAGGGGAGGATCCCGGCAATATTGTCGGGATCGTTTTACAGCAAGGGGCTTAGCCCCGCCCACACCATGTTATAGCGAATCCTGAGCTTATGGTTGATTTTTGATTACAGGAGTACATTGCAAAATGTACTCCTGTACCATTA